CATGATGTAGGGTAACCTATGTACCCTTGAAGAGGTGTAGGGAGTGATTTGTATTACTTTATTAGATGGCCAAATGGTTGAGGAAGACAATAATGTTATTTCGAACCCGTATTTTCAAGTATTTCCATACAAAACATGCCCCGCTCCCAAATGTACCGTCCATATTTCAAGCTATTTCTATAGTGACGCTTTGCATAGAGACCAGCCCATGATGTAGGGTACCTCCATGTACCCTTGAAGAGAGGACAGGGTGTGACTTGCATTACTTTGTTAGATGGCCAAAATGGTTAAGGAAGACAATAATGTTATTTCGAACCCGTATTTTCAAGTATTTCCATACAAAACATGCCCCAGCTCCCAAATGTACCGTCCATATTTCAAGCTATTTCTATAGTGACGCTTTGCATAGAGACCCCCATGATGTAGGGTACCTATGTACACTTTGAAGAGGGGTTAGGGGGTGACTTGTATTACTTGGATTAGATGGCCAAATGGTTAAGGAAGACAATAATGTTATTTCCAACCCGTATTTTCAAGCATTTCCATTCCAAAATACCCCTGCTCCCAAATGTGCCGTCCATATTTCAAGCTATTTCTATAGTGACGCTTTGCACAGAGACTCCCCCATGATGTAGGGTACCTATGTACCCCTTGAAGAGGGGTAGCCAGTGACTTGTACTCACTTGATTAGATGGCCAAATGGTTAAGGAAGACAATAATGTTATTTCCAACCCGTATTTTCAAGTATCTCCATACAAAATAACCCGCTCCCAAATGTGCTGTCCATATTTCAAGCTATTTCTATAGTGACGCTTTGCACAGAGAACCCCCTGATGTAGGTAGGGAGTAGGGATTGATTCTTTTACTGTTTTAGAATAGAAAAATGATGAAAAGTAGTTACTCTTAATCTGTACATTAGAAGAACAAGGGGTGATCAAGAGGGTTTGGGGGAAGTATATTTGAACTGCTCTGAACTACTCCCAATTCCCAGCTCCACTTACTCAAGCGAACACACACATGTCCACACATCGTGTATTATTGTACTAATTTGTTCTTTCAGCAATCATTAGTTAAGTATGTATTTGTTACCTTCTAAACTGTTTCGCTATAACGTTTATAGAAGACTTGTATACTATGGATCAGCTGAAATTGTTTCAAGAGAATGTTCATGTAAAACTGTCGCCAATGATATTGTAAAGTACGTGTTTATGTCATGTACGATAAATATGAATGACCGAAATGAACTTTTTAACTCCATATGTGATATTCTGGATGTAGAAACTTTTGTTAAGATCTGGGATCAAGATGATGATGTTATTCTTGCATTTTACTTGGTGGATGTCCAATTGCGTGCATAATGGAACTAGAAAGAGAAGTATGGGCAAAAGTAATAATTAATGTAAGCCATTTTATAAAGGAAATGGCGATACTTTAAGCAAAACACTTGTATGTATATGAACATTTGTGACTCTATCAATAACCTATCTTAATCATTTGATGTAAAAATATATTATTACCACACATTGTAATCTTCATTCAGTTGGAGGAAATAAAGAATATCTATCTATCATCGTGTATTATTGTACTAATTTGTTCTTTCAGCAATCATTAGTTAAGTATGTATTTGTTACCTTTCTAAACTGTTTCGCTATAACGTTTATAGCTCGCCTAATTTCTGTCTGTCGCACTGGTATATTGCCGTGCAGCAGCATCTGGAGCTTATTTGGAGATGAGGTTTCAGATTACAGATGTGGTGTCATCAGTAGGCTTTAAGGTGTTGACAGGACATGGCGTATGGTTACTGTCAGAAGCACTGCGCACGTAGGCGTCGCGGTAAGGGCTAGCCGGGAAGGGGAGTTAGGGGTGAATGTTAGAATTATTAATCTCATAAAACAATCGTGTTGTGTTGTATCAGTCCAGTATAACTGCCCACTTGTTTTATATTGTGGAAAACATTGCATGGTCATCCAAACATAATATTTCCACTGTCACTATAGACCACTGATTTTTAACAGAAGAAATTATAACTCACGTGTAAATTGCTTATTGAGAATATAGTAGAGCAATAAAGTAAATTCGAAAATTCAAAAGCAAACACACATATGATACTGACAAACTGTAAAGTGAAGGAATTGTACTTAAATATAATTGGAGAGATGGTATTTTTTTTACAGTAGAACCAAAATATAAGAATAAGCAGGTGAGATGTACCAGGATATAGTGACAAAAGATGTAACATGAGAACAGATATAATATATCTGAATACGCATAATAATAAGATTAACATGGAGTTCTATATTTGGGAAGAACCTGTGCAAGTCTAGGTCTCTCGACCCCAGTCTATATAAGATAACGGACAGTCTCGCCGCAACACAGCTGTTTCTGAAGTGGGGTCTAAACAATAACACTGCGATGTGTGTCAGGTCACTGGCTCTTCTGAGGTGGCACATGTGCCGTTCATTGCATGAGCCTTCCCTATATGAGCGACATTCCACGATTGCATTGTGGGAATGTAAACATTGCGAACGTTACCGTGTCGCTGAAAACTTGTGAGTCGAATTGAGACATTTTAACCGTCGTAAAACATAAACGTAATGTTTCCACCAGTGATGGTAGCTGCGTGAAGCAACTGCAAACCAAGAAACGGGATGCAACGGAGTAGTTTACTGTATGAGGCCGTACGAGGCGATGACAACTGACATGCATCGTGACGTCACTTACATTGTGACGTAATGTAAAATGATTCGATTACGAGGGGGCACACTAGAATGGCGCAGTGACGGGAAAACGTCATTCAATTGTTACGTCATCAAAAAAACTATACTTTTATTGTCTCATAATGTATTCTTTTTTCGATTGTTCTAACCGCTAGGCATCTTAGAAATGTTTATAACTATACACTTTCATGCACACTGATATGCTCATGCCAATAATGGTTGTCACCCCACCCCCCACCCCCACACACACCTCAAACCCCCCCTCTCCAACTAAAAAAATTGAAGGGCGTGACAACCATTATTGGCATGAGTATATATCTGCAAATTTGTTGATTTATAGGAATACAGAAAAGTGTACATATATGATTTGTATAAATATGCGTGTTGATGTATATTATGCGTATGAATGGGTGCGATAATTTTATATTTGTCCGTATTTAATTATCTATTGTTGTAATTGCAATACATATTTTATTGTATCATGTCATGCTCTGTATGATATGAAAAGAATTTCATTTGGATTATAAAGTGTTATCTTATCTTATTAAGGAAAACACCACAAATCATGTTACCTTTTTTGCTTTAGAAAATGGCATAACATCAAATAATACACAGTTACTTTATTCAAGTAGTATAGTCCCGTACATCTGTAAAACCTGTACAAGTGGTGAATAGTGTGAACACCTGACAGACCACAAAACTTGGGACCATAATCTGGCATCTTGTAAATGATGGTATGGAACCTATTTCAAATTCCAATTGACGTGGATTTGTTAGACAATTTGGGTGAAAAATGTTATCTTCAAAATTTGTATTTTATTTGCAGTTCGTACTTGTTTAAATTTTACTTTCACCATTGCATTAAACAGAACAAAGTGTTGGAGTCTTTTCAACTTATCAGTGACACAAGTTGATACAGCTAACCTGATTTAAGTATTTTTTTAAATTCATTTAATTAATTCAATTTTTTACCTTGATAGTACAAAGATCAGAGGGGTAGGCTAGTGGTTAAAGCATTTGCTCCTCATGTCCAAGTCATAGGTTTGATTCCACAGATGGGTACAATGTGTGGAGACCATTTCTGATTCTCCCGCCATGATATTGTTGGAATATTGCTAGAAGTGGCGAAAACCCATACTCACTCACATGGGAGTACAAACATGGTTTTCCATTCATGACAAAGAGTTCAGCACTGTAAGCAATAAGACTCATAAGATGTACCTTTTAAAGAATTTTATTTAATATTTGAGCAAATCAAACAAGGAGTGTGGTATAGATGGTAAAACATATGAGCCTCAGGGAATGGTAAAAGCCTGTCAACAAAACAGGGCTAAACCTGCTATAAAAAATCTGAACTCATGTGTATATAATACTTTTTAATGAAACAAAACTAATTCAATATTCAACCCTTAAGATTATTTGAACAAAATCAATCAGGTATTTTGTAAAACAGATGACAGATGAAAACTGCCATTCAGATTACAGTTGAATTTAATACAGGTGTTATGTGAGTGGAACATGTCATCGCTTCGTGGAGTGTTGTTTAGCATACACACCAGCAATTTTGCAGCTACATGGCGATGTAAATAATAGTCTTGACCAGACAATCCAGTGACTGACATCACAAGTATCATCTATGTAATTGGGATACGATGACATGTGTCGACCTGGTCAGTCAGCCTGACCACCAGATCCCATTAGTTGCCCCTCTCTATAACAAGCCTGGGTTGCTAAAGACCAATCCACGGGCCTATGACTGCAACAATCTTCAGCTATGACATTTTTCAATTGTCATTTTGGATTCAGTTCTACCCAGGGATTCACAGGTTCAAGCATAGTGAGTGGTATTGCACTGGGTTGCTAAAGACCAATCACTGGCCTATGACTGCAAATAATCTTCAGCTATGACATTTTTTCAATTGTCATTTGGATTCAGTTCTACCCAGGGATTCACAGGTTTAAGCATAGTGGTATTGCACTGGGTTGCTAAAGACCAATCACTGGCCTATGACTGCAACAATCTTCAGCTATGACATTTTTTCAATTGTCATTTGGATTCAGTTCTACACTGGGCTTCACAGGTTCAAATGGTATTGCACTGGAAAAAGATTTCTCCGAGTTCTTGTCCTTATAATTTACACTGAACTGGTAAATTCACTTAAATCTAAATCTTTGTATTCACAACAGCTGTTGTTGTTGCCTGGTTGCTGCCATATTGAACCAAAACTTTGCAACCATGCTCCATTTTTTGTTTCAAGGTCATATTTATGCATGTCTTTGCTTTCAACCAATCGAAGATTTGGCAAGACCTTCAGCCTCGATGTCATCCGGCCAGAGCTCCACCACAGACATAGATACAGTTGTCAAGAGTGCCACAGACATTACTTTCCGATCATCAGGAAAGTCATCTCCGATTTGAAATTTTAGTGTTTCTGGATCAAATATCTCAATTGCAGTTGTGTTCTGAATCTTTGTACCTCCACCTACGATGTAGATTTTGTCATTATAACTAATCGCAGTGCTTGAGAGTCTTGGATGAAGAATTTCAGTATCCAGAATGAACCACGTGTCATTTGAAATGGAGTACTGCAACACTGTTGTGAAGAGTTCAGCATTGCTTTCTTCACCACCGAATACATAAACACTATCTTTATACACAGTAGCTGCATGATGGGATAGGCCGGTTGGCATCGGCGCCATCTGTTGCCATAGATCGAAAACTGGATCGTATGCCTCCACAAGTTCCATTGGAACTCCTCGTGGATACGACAAAGCACCACCAAACACAAACACTCTCTCCTCAACAGCACATGCGGCAAAGGCACATCTTGCAGTGATCATAGGGTGACAAGGCGTCCACGTTCTGTCTTTCATCTGGTACTGATACACGGAATCTCGAGCCAAGCCTTGCTCTTCAAGATGGTAATCATCATAGAATATGCCACCCATGAAGTATATCTGATTTTGATTGTTGGTAATCAGCTTGTAATAGTCGACCTTGAACTTGAAGTCAAACGTTGGGTGATGTTTGGCACCCATATAATTCTTCCCAGTTGATGGATCAAAACAAGAAAAGGCTCTTTGCTCTTCTGACATTCCTCCACCTGAAAATATCAACATCTCTTTCCTCAAACATTCCATGACGACGACAAACACTGAGCTCATAACCATCTGCAATTTTCTGCTTTTCTTCTTCAGAATCTTGGCAGTCCATTCCAATTCGGCACAACTTTGTCATTGAGACAATAGCACGACAAAATGGATTCCCAACAATCAAATCATGTGTGTTAATATGTTCACAAATATATTCTTCATCAATAAGCAGAAGTCTTACTTTTCCAAATAAATCACCAAAGAACCTCTTCCTCTCCTCAATATCATATTCTATCCACTTCACAAGAAAGTGGAAAATCACTTCCTCTTTATCAACATTTATGTCATCGGATGAGATAAGTTCCTTGACAGCAGCCTTCTCTAACTGCATCATGTCTTTCTCAACCATTTCACAGAAGTGGTCAAGGATGAAGGACTTCTCACAAGCATCCTTCAACAAGTCGTCTGGAGAGACTGGTAATCTCTAGGTTGTACACGCCCAGACAGTTGTCGACACAAATAGCTCTCATCATGTGATCAACACAGTATGACGCTTCAAAGGTGTCGAGCTGAAACATGCTGGATGCTGTCAAAATGGACTGCACGCTGTCATGAGATATGTCTACAGGAAGGCAGTACATGAATTTCACGGCCATTTCCAGTGCAGAGTAGGTGATATTGCTGATGTATATTGTTTCTTGGTCCCGTTCACAATAATCTCGGAACATGGCTCTGAAGAAGGAAATTTTTAAATTAATCAATTAATATACATTATTGTTTTAATATAACTGTGAGACTAGATTACCAATGAAGGGCCATAAATATTCCGAGGGACATAATCCGACTGGAACCACACAGCTTCAAAACCAAGGCTGTACACCTTGTCACAATTATCAAAGATGGTTGAATGTGTAAGCAAGCTGAAAAAAGTAAAGAGTAAAGATGTAATCTATGATCCAATGACCTACTACAAACGTCATCAAGAGAAGGCACATCCTGGCCCTTGTGCACGTTACTGAAACATATATTAATCAGATTTAGCAAGAACAGGCACCACATGTTGCACACCAATACGAAGGCTATAAAATGTCCAAATCTTTTGATGGGATTCAAACCACAGACTTTTGATCCTAAGTAGGACATCCTGTCCACATGACCAAAGAAATTAAGATGAAGATGTCATCTATGGAAATACATAATACCCTGAAACACTAATGGACCTATTATTGAAAAACAGGGACTCACTTGACTTGATTTTACTGCTATGTTAGAGACTTATCTAGGATTCTAAGCTAAGTGACCTTGGCAGACAAACTGGAAAATATATTTTCAGTGCAAAAGTGGGAATTTTGTTAATTAATTATTTTCGTGAATTCATATGTACATTTAAGCATTGTCTCCAACAGAATAATGACTTTTTTATAGTCTTGATTTCTGTCACCTCTATAAAGCCCAAACATCATTGTATCTTTATGAAAATGATTAATTGAACAAAGAAAAACTTTAATCTAAGTTTGGAAATTTTACTCTTTCTGACAACTTGGGGCTAAAAAACAGACCTCTGAAATAGAAAGCTAAGTGACCTTGGCAGACAAACTGGAAAATATATTTTCAGTGCAAAAGTGGGAATTTTGTTAATTAATTATTTTCGTGAATTCATATGTACATTTAAGCATTGTCTCCAACAGAATAATGACTTTTTTATAGTCTTGATTTCTGTCACCTCTATAAAGCCCAAACATCATTGTATCTTTATGAAAATGATTAATTGAACAAAGAAAAACTTTAATCTAAGTTTGGAAATTTTACTCTTCTGACAATTTGGGGCTAAAAACAGACCTCTGAAATAGACCCTACAGTACCAGTAAAAGTAACGGAACATATTGCAACATACCAAATAATGTGGTGTTTCATGCAATCAGATTACCATATAGAATTTGCAATCTGTGTTCACTGCTTTGCCATATCTACTCATCCTCATTCTGACTGGAAACCTTTCCACTAAACATACCGGTAAGCTTACGACTGTTACCTTATCATTCCATAAGTATATAGACAATAAACAAGGTGGGAGCATACAAATCATGCACAATAAACTAAAACTATCAATCAGCATATCCTGACACCTCTAAGGGTTGCAACTTAGCACAACCACAGGTGGGGTTTTTTCATACAGATGTAAGCTCCTATAAGTCTTTAGAATCATTTAAACAGCAAAACATACACTCCAGCTGATGATACTATTATGATGAAAATATAGATAAAGTAAAGTAAAGTTGGTGATCATGGGTATTTTGGTGAAAGGGTTAAGAAATCATGTGCTGTCATCAAAGCAAAAAGCATCCCCAAAATACTTGATCCCTTAATTCTTTTGTTACTATATATCACAAACCATGACACACCGTGAGCTACAGTCTGACCAACTGTGAAGGGTCATTTACCTGAAGTATGGACTGCTGGCTGCAAGGACACTTCTGTGACAATGGAGGTCTTTGTCCTCCGCAACAAGAATGACATTCGTCAGCTCTTTGGATGTGAAAAGTTCTTGAATTCCCTCCAAGAGATGCTGCTGCTGACTGTTCATTGTTGAGTTCCTGGAAAAATAGTTCATCACAAAAAGTAAGTCACATTTTGAATGTTCATTTTTAAAGAGAAAAATTCAGTATTATTATCATTATGTTCACTATCAGCGAACGGTCAACAATAAGAAAACTTTTCTAAGCATTGTTTTTCACCTTCATTTAGGAAAATGTTTTGAATACAAATTTAGGAGATTTTGTCTAAAGTTCTAATTTACAACAAAAATAATACATACAAAATATAACAAGGATTGTCACTAAGGTGACATAATCCCCCTCCACAAATTATCAAATCAAACTTAAAAAGTGAAGGTCGTAATTTAAGATGAAGTTAAATGTAAACAAAAAATGGCCAGTCAACCTCTCTTGATATCTTGCTCTGTAGTTGTTCAAACGCACAAATCTTTTCAAGACTCACTTTGGGACCTTGACATGAATGTCTTAGTGTATGAAATATGCAAAAATAGTAATAAAGAAATTGCTTATTGAAAAACATTCAAGGGAAGTCTTGAAAGTCTATGAAGAAAATCCAGTGAATGGTTCTTGAGATATCTCGCTGACAATCTTTACATGCAGGTTAACATGCTGAAATCTTTAAAGTGTCGCCGTGACCTTGAAAATTAAGGGAAGGTCACCAAAATGGACTCGGCCCAAGATAAAGCTTGGTGTTGAATATGAAGAAAATCCAGTGAGCGGTTCGGGATATCTTGAGATATCTCGCTGACAAAGGGTAAAATTAAGTTAAAGTCCCCTTTTCCTGACCTTGGAATGAAGGTCAAGGTCACTTGCTGAAAACCTGACTGGGACCTTTCAAGGTCACCAAACCTGACTGGGACCTTTCTTTTACTGTGATGAACCTAGGTACCAAATATGAAAAGAATCCAGTCAACGGTTCTTAAGATATTCCAATTCGTACGTACGGACGGAGCCTAATACTATATCCCCACTTTGCGCTAAACGCGCGGCGGGGTAAATTTATATTACCATAAATTGTAATAAATCTCAATAAAATAATCAAAGTATACAGTTATAGAAAAAATATGTGAATATGCAATACAACTTGGACCTACATTGAACATTTTCTATCTTTGAGGCTTAAATAAACTGAACTTACAATATTATACCTCACACATACAGTAGGAAAAATCAATGACATCCTCTTTAAAGCCATTCTGGTTTAGTCAAAAGTCGTACTTTTGAGTGGACAGTACACTTTCGAAGTTAAACAAAAAATAGGAGAATCTCCTGGACCTAGCGAATAGCCATTTATGGTAAATCTCAACTCACTTGGATGGATCCGTGTAATCTGATACTCTTATGCGTAATTAGTGAAATGCATTAAACATTTGGCATAATTCAGCTAGCTTCAAAATTACTGACATGATAGTTTCATTGAAAGAAACGTGTTACTGGCGGGTACCTGTGTCTGCATAGTTTTCCCGAAAAATGTCAGCTATGAACAACTTTCGTCATCTGCTGCAGAAGCACGTAGGCATCGCTTGTTACAATGTGTAGAGTTCTCAAATTTGACACTGTAAAGAGTCAAACATGTCGCAAACAACATGCAGATTATTTACTATTATCAGTGACCAAATCACTCGTATTGGAAACTAATTTACTAATAATTATTCCATAACTAAGAATGATGCAGCCATATTGATTGGGAAAACCATAAAAATCAGAAGAATTTTATTATGTAGGTTTCTGGCGGCTTAACCGGAAGTTATAAAATCAACATGGTTGCCAAAGACGTTTTTGAAAAGAGTTGACAGAGTGCTTCGCGTTTATGAAGTCTTAAGAATCAAAATGAATTTCAGAGATGCATACAATCCAACAAGAGGGGTGAAAGCAGACTTCAACAAACTCCTTGAGACTTTTTCTACTCGAAAGACAGTTCGTTATGAACATTTTGCTGATCTTTGGAGATCAATGAAGTTCTCGTACCTATATGCCGGGCGCAAAAATGACAGAGAATGTCGAGAGGTATGCACTAAGCGCCGCTAGAAGAATAATATTAAGTCTTAATTATAACTCGACATCTCCTGTGGATGTCTTTCATGTTTGAGAAATCTCCGAATGTGCCCGTTCGTCGCCGACTCAAAAACTCGTAGTTCCACGGTTCCAGTGACCTACAGCTACAGCATATGGGGACCTGAACACGACGTTTAGCTTGCTGAACTAATGGGGACCTCAGATGGTAGCAGTGATTAGTAGTCGTAGTTAATGGCATGTCGATACTTGCAGTCTGTCTTAGTACATAGTAAGGGACCATTATGCTGAATGTTGTGAAAGCCGAGACAATCTTTATTGTATACAGCTGACACTGGATGCTGTTTTGGTTGAATTCGCACGTGTTTTAGTATATACTTTAAAAATCTGATTGACACATACTCCGAGTCTAGTACTTTGACAAGTTTCAACATATTAGTATTATTACTGTCTTGTAGTCTGCGCTTTTCTTCTCACAGTCCAATTATATTACTGGTGTCAACCAATTATCATCTCTAAAACCTCAGGCCCATTTTAGCCATATTCACAGTGACAACAATCCACCATTTGCATCATTAGGCCAAAATACTATACTATTTAGGTGCGCATCATTCTCTCAAAACAAGACCATTGTCCAGTCAAAACAGGCCTATATTTGTGGTATGTTATCATGATTGTGCATTGTTATGATTTATCAGTAACACCAATCTTCTCTGTTTTGATTTTCTAGTTCTATGAAGAGGTAAACCATATTGCCCTGAGTTTTCACCTGCTACCATATGACTTCCAAGTGAGAACCGGCGGACTGTACATTCTGTACGGCCTCTACTTCACGCAGCCTTGTGTTCCTAAAATACCGGTAAGTAGTCCTGTTACAGTTCCCACCACTGCAATCCCTGCAACCTATCATCAATGGTGTGTCGGTGGTAAACTGTAAAACAGAAACAACAGGCACACTAAGCTGAGAGGTAAATATTACCAGGAATAAAAATTATTTAAACGCAAGTATATCTAAGATTTGGAAATGCATAAAGGTTCCAACAGACTCTCTTCCTTTAATCATCCCTTAGTCATACATTGCTTGCTGTATTTGTGTGCCTTGTAAAACTCTGTACACTTCAACTCTATCTAACCATAACATGTCCACAAGCGGGTATTTCTTCCTCAAACATCAATTTGGGTTCAAGACATTTGATGTTATTTTAGTCAATGAGAATTTTGTGTAAACTTGATAAAATCACAATTTAAAGTGAAGTTGTTCCTCTGTTACAGATAATGCAGGACAAATCAAGTCTGGAATGAGATTATGGATTTCCAGAAGTGCACACACCCCAGAAGCATTACGATGTGGAATATGTGTTTCAGAAACTCTTTAGGGAGCATGCCTTTCTATTTGTTGCAACACCAAAAGAGGTAGGTACAACTGTGTCCACCTACCCATGAATATCTGGGTTAGAATTGGTCTTCAGCAACCCATGCTTGTCATAGGACCCATGAGTGAGTGAGTTTGGTTTTACGCCGCTTTTAGCAACATTCCAGCAATATCACGGCAGGGGACAGCAGAAATGAGCTTCACACATTGTACCCATGTGGGGAATCGAACCTGGGTCTTCGGCGTGACGAGCGAACGCTTTAACCATCAGGCTACCCCACCGCCACAATAAGACCCATGAAGAACCAGGTTAGAATTGGTATTAGCAGGTGTCATAAGAGGTGACTGAAGAGTTCAGGTGATCAGGCTCGCTGACTTGGTTGACACATGTCAGTTGTCATCATATCCCATTTGTGATGCTCGTGCTGTTGATCACTGGATTGCCTTGTCAAGACTTGAACATTTACAGACTGCTGGCATACAGCTGGAACATTGCTGAGTGCAGCGTTAAACAACAAGCAAACAGACGAACCAGTGTCCACCAGACAATCCAGTGATTCAGATCTTGAGGATTGATTTAAGCAGTTGTGTTACAATGACTTACATCAACCAAGTCAATGAGCCTGATCAGCTGATCCTGTCCCAACCAAGATCTTCATGTGGGACAAACTGGTTAATAGTAATTACTATCCATACACCCAGTGGAATGGAACATGAAAAAGTTTATAGACATTAAGCATTTAGAGTATTTTGTATCCTATCTGGACTGAAGTACAGCACTATGTATCCATGTACTGAAGCATGATAATGTGTATCATGACAGCCCTAATCCTCATTATATGCCTTAAAACTGGAACTTTTTCCATTTCCAAGAACTTTACATATTTAAGATAACTAGTTTGAGTATGGTGAGTATTTTTAATGACCACTGTTTATGTTGGATGCTAAGACACAAATAAAACAATGTGTGAAAGGCTGGCCAAGGCATTTAAGGCACCACAAATCTTTTCACAGAGTTGCATCCCTTTAGTATGCCAGAAAGCTATGAACTGGGTTTGAATTTCGATTCTCCACAATAATGTTTCCAGCTTTCTAGGTCAGCACCATATTTGTGCATGTGGGTTCAGCAAAAGCGGTAAACATCTGAGACAGGTTTCCTTCATGCATGAAACTCACATACTGTGATATAACTGGAATACTGTCCCAAGCAGCATTAAACCCATCTCTCTCTCACACACACACACACCATTAGGAGCTGGATGGAGACTGCAGACATAAACCAGTGAAATGATAAAGTTTTTATCACGATGCACTGTCTGGGGGAAAATGGAAAGCTTTTGGTCTTGAAGAGGACCTTTAAAGCTGACTGATGCAAACGCTGATATTGTGCTTGTTTTGCAGGTGTACATCAAATCGAAAGACAAAACCCAGGCGGACAAAGGAGGCGACGCTGACAGCCTGACGAGAGACAGTTTGAGAATGGAGGATTCTGTGTCCACTGTGTTTACACCTGATATTCTACAGGTCGGTGAACAGTTTAATATACAAGACAAATGCTTTTACACAAAAGGGTGGTTTGTGAAATACAGAGCAGACTTGCCATCTAGTTCAGAGATAAAATATAGTAACTCAAGATTCTGTAATTCTGTAAAAACATTAAGCTAATACAAGATTTTTAAAGAAAAAAGTGAAGATTATGATCTTATTTAGATTTTTAGGATGCTTTTGGCAAAATCTAATCATGATATGATCAATTCTAGCTAAAGATTGAAAGAATCGTTATTTGTATTTGTTGATGAAGGTTATCATGGTGCTGTATATATGGTTATAGTGTGGTTCCTAATGATAGATGTAGAAACTGGGTGAATATAATCATGTTGATTATAGTTTTTTCACATTTGTGTAGCAGGGTAAGGGGTGGTATGTGAATGAATGAATGAACCTGTGAATGAACTTTATTTCTTTTCCACATTAGTAGATTTGAAATTAGCAGAACCATAAACCAAGTATTATGAAAACAAACAAAACAAATATACAGTCTGCAACTTAGCCAGTATTCTGAAAACACATTAGTAAATTTCTTTCCACTTTAGTAAATTTTAGAATTAGCAGAACCATAAGTAAAATAATATGAAAACAAAAATGTTAAAATCAATCTACAACCAAGCTACTATTCTGAATGCAGAGTCAAGTAAATTTTCAGTTGGCCTCATAAGCTCAGCTAATATAAGTCTATATAAAATCTACTGCTAAGCGCCGTGTCTGGGTTGGTAGACTCCAAACATTTTGGCATAGGCTGTCATATATTTAGATTTCATGTTTTTTTGTACTGTATCTAGATAGCTTGTAATGTGTTTCCATAGCAACTGCGAGCCATCCATATGCAGTACCAGCAGATCAAGTTAGGGATCGCAGGACCGAACGCCCTTCGACCCGACCGATCCCTGGATGTTGTTGAAGATGAAATCATGCACAGTATTGATAAGTAAGTGAAATAGTCAGTGATACAGGATGAGTATTCTGCAGCTCAGTCTCGATAAAGTGTGTTTTTTAACATATCCATCGCTGATAATAAAGAAATTGTCAAACCAGATTTTAGTTTTGAGACAAAGAGACTTCTGGCTTTTTCTAACCTTTTCAGAAACATTTAGTAACAAAGCTATTTCACTTAACTGAAGTTGGGGAGATTCATCAAACCCTTTAACCTTGAACATGTCAAGTCCTTGTGCCCATAATTATACCTTCGTATTTTGCATAGGGGATTCCAACAGATACTTCAAAGGCTTATGATCTGTTCTGATCGTAAACTGGGCATTATGGAGGTAATGATCCAGGTTTTGTAGGGCATAAGGTATGGCAAATGCTTCCTTCTCAATGGTGGACCAGCTCGTTTGTGTATCTGTAAAAATTCAGTGACCAGCGATAAGAATTTTCTGCGGATCCGCAGAATTCTGTGAATTTCATAAGGCCAATGGTCATTTTTGTGATCATCTAAATCCGTTGAGAAATTTTAGGGGGGATGAAGTTGCTGTGTTCATGATATTGTCATTTCTGAGCCAGTTTTAAAGGTCTAAAATGCCTAAATATCAGCAGCTTCGTGTCTCCCCACCGAACTTCATTCTCATCCCTGAGTGACCACCTTGACTATTTGTTTAATCATTCATTGCAGCATATCTTTAGTTTGTGATCAAACTGCAAATGGCTTTGTAAAATGTCTCCTAAGTCGATGCCTGTATTGCATGTCATCAGTGTTGATTTTTAAGTTCACTTTCAGCCGTCTGGTGCAACACAATCAAAGACTTGAGAAGATCCGAAGTGCACAGGTATGTCAAGGCAGCTCATGGTGTATACATGTAAACTACATATTTCACTCATACAGGTAGCCCATATGTCTCTGGCATTGTCACAGAGTTGTCTCCCTTACAGAGCTACAGATCACTTTTGGGGTCATTGAGTTACTATATGTACTTGCTTGTGTATCCTAATTTTCCTTTGAGTAACCAAATAAATTGTACCCACCTCACTCAAACTCAATTGGGTATTTTCCCATTTTCCATTAATTGTAGAAATATAACAAAGTTTAAATGTTATTAGTATTAGATCTGTAATATGAGAAACGAAAAGCAAGACTTCAAGTTGCCAAGTTCATGTGTTGAAATAGAACCTCTGAATATACCTCAGTTGTTGTATCTATGCGCCGGTACGCAAGCTGTGATTTGACAGTTTTGTCCATAAGCATGTAAGATCAAATTTATTGAGTATTTACAAAAATTCAAGCTACTTGTACGCAATCGACTTAATAAGAATTGAGTTTTCACATAAATATTTGCTTAATTTACACAGATACGCAGCTTATCTGTACCTCTGCCTTTGTACATGCCCAGATTGTGGTCCTAGTCTTGACAGCATGGTACATCTATTTCTCAATTTGGTTAAAGGCACAATGTCACACATTTTCGACAATATTTTGGCATATATTATATATATATTGGGGCATATGCACTCACTTTAGCTTCCTATTGATGCAATAACAGACCAATTATCCCTTACGACTTGCCTGAAATTGATAATTGAAACTTTGAGGCGAGGAGCTTCCAATTAGGGAACACATGCTGTAAACAATTGCTGTACATCAAAAACTGTGGACATGAAGATATCCATAAAGATAATTCTATGAGGTTCGCTTGAAATAATGTTTGGATCGTAGAGAGCTCGAGAGTTGCATTAAAACTTTCAAACTTTTTGATCTCATATTGTAGTCTAAATATTTATTTTTGGAATAAATTATATGGTAGCTTCCCTGAGTACTGAAAGTTAGTATTATTGAGAGAAATGCACTATTTCTTTTTAGAGAAGTGTGGTGTGAAATAGTGCCTGAAACATCAGTGGCTTTTTGCACATAATTTTTCACTTTTGCCCACTCCCCAATTCTCTTTTCTTATTGACATGCTTTAGTTTACATCCGAGATCTGTAGATAATGTTCCCTTCACAGCGAGGAAGACAATGGAAACTAAGACAAGAGGAACTTGACTCAGATGAAGGGGAATCCTCGGATATTGACAATCCAGATTGTGTAAGTTGAAGAAGCAACATTAGTAAGACACTCTAGCTGTATAAACCTGGAGGCTCTACAAATGTTTAGTTAATATATATATTTTTTTTGCTTATTTAGTACATCAAAAGGTGCCACACGTGTGGTTTGCCTTTGTAAAAATAAGAGTGCCAATACCTTTTGGGGATTCAGTTAAACTAAAAATGTCAGAAAACTTATGTCATTTCAGTTTCTTGTTAATAAATCAGTAAAGATCATGTTATCATTTAGACATTTAAACCTTTTTAAACCTTTTAAACCTTCAGCTGAATTTGACAATATTCCTCCTTGACAATGGTACAAGAATCTGTATCAAAATGTTGCACTCACAGCAGGGATTTACAGGATGCGAATTTCTGTATCCTATACTCATAAAAATTGACAATGGACACAACAAAATTTATAAGCACATCCACAGGGACGCAGAAAAAGTCCAAATACTTTTTGAAAAAATTCCAATCAAGTAACAATAAGTTATCAAAGAGTTTGCTACTAGCTGGGTTATGGTATGATTTGTAATTCAATTACTGTAACAAATAATGTCATGATCATGATACACAATACAATAGCAGCATGAATAATATTTATGTGTATGGGACCCCCATTTTGTTGTCCGGGACCCATGAAAATCAAGAGTATGAGTCCTAGGGACCCTCAAAACCAGTCACCCGTGAAGGTCCAGGTTAGAATGTGCCTTCAGTAACCCATGCTTGTTGTAAGAGGCGACTAACGGGATCGGGTGGTCAGACTCGCTGACTTGGTTGACATATGTCATCGATTCCCCATTGCACAGATCGATGCTCATGCTGTTGATCACTGGATTGTCTGGTCCAGGCTCGATTTTTTACAGACCACCGCCATATAGCTGGAATATTGCTGAGTGCGGCGTAAAACTAAAGTCACTCACTCACTCAAAAACAGGACTCAAGGTAAATCCCTCTCACAGATTATTATTATCCATAAAGTTTGTCTATATTGAACCAGTAAGTGTGAGTGAGGGAGTGAGTTTTGTTTTACGCCATTTTTAGCAATATTACAGCAATATCACAGTAGGGGACACAAGAAATGGGCTTCACACATTGTACCCATGTGAGGAATCAAACCGGTGTTCAGTGTGACGAGCGAACACTTTGACCACTAGGCCACCCAACAGCCCAATAAGCAGTTTGGTAAGGGGCCAGCATAGCTAATGTTGTTTGTCTGATGGGACACACCCCCTTGTTTAAATTCCATAGTGTTCCCCCTCCAACTAACTCACATCTCTTTCACTCACACAGATACCAGTTCCCAAGTCTGGTCAGGCGAGGGTCAAGGCTCAGGCGTACGCCCAGCAGGCACAACAATCTAAGGCTAGGCGCCACAGAACCGTCATCACGCTGGACGCCTCAGAATCTTCCCCTGAGAAGCCCATCAGGAAGGGGCAGGGGAAAAACAAAAGCGATAAAGGTTTGCTGTCAAATTCATTGGTTCAAAAGTGCATGTAGTACTGACAAGAGATTATAATCAGAGGCCCAGATAAGCTGCGTATCCGGGTAAAATACGCATAGAATTACGCATTGAAAAATAATTGTTGCGTATCAATTACGCACTTAAAATACGCAAAAAGTTTAGAACAAATGCGAACGGAATATATTTGTAGAAATCGCTTGCATAATGAAAAAGGCAACGATTGCTATCAATTTGTACTGTTAGTATAGGAAAAGTGTTGTACTGTCAGTACAGGATGAGTGATTTTTTATGAAATAATTTCCATTATATTTAAGTTGGTTTTGATTAGGCATGACATAAGGCAGAACATACCTGCTTAGTAAACTTACTCAATGACATAATACTCAGGTGAGTAAAGTGACTGAAATACGCACATATTTGAAAGCAGTGGGTAACGGGAAATGAAATACCCACTCAACATTCATAATACCCACTTCAAAAAAATACAGTGGGTACAGTACCCACATGAGCTTAATCTTATCTGTATAATTATGCATTATATTATATAGCCATTCCTTTATGATAAATACAGAGAGTCCAACCCATATGATTTTAACATATTCGTTACGAAAAAAACAACACAAAATACGCGACTACGATAGCAGTAAAAATGTACAATTTAAAAATAAAATACATTAAATTTAATTATAAAAATGCATACGTACCATACACAATAAATTTCAACATTTTATTCAGTATCAAGCTATATGTCGATACTTACTACTGATTTTGGTGAGTACAATGTTAATAACAAGTTGTTAGAATAGCTACATATTCTTTGGAAAAGTTCATACTAATTTTGGCAAAAAAATACTAAATGTGCATCGTTTTTTGGCCAAAATACTAATTGGACTGAATTAGGGTTGGCATCTCTGTAAATAGACTAGACCAATGTTTCCACAGCTTTTTGGGAAGTCTCTTGTGTGGAAACTCTCATGCACACACAAATGTAATTTCACTGGGCTGTTATTTTTAGCACAGAGTCCTTCAAACTGGAAAAAAAATCTGTGGTAGCCGATGCATCCTGGGTTATTTACCATGATAGAAAGATACAGGATGAAGCGTGTTCATAAGGTTTAGAGGGAAGTTTTCTTCTTTCGTTGCTGAAACAAATGATTTGTATTCACTTAACAAGATTACAAAAGAAAATTATCTTTATAAATTGTATCTAAATATTCCATCGCCTTATCTGTGTCCATGTTCAGTTGGTAATTGACAATTAATTTTAAATGTACAATGCATGTATTTAATTCATAACTTGATGAGATGAAAGGTATTAGTGACTAAACATCAGAGTGAAATAGAGGATTTGCATGCAAGGATCAGCATATCCTGGCATACCAAAGGGAGACAACTCTTTAGCTAGAAGGACACTAAGATGTCTGTACCTTCCATGTATTGTGTATTTGAAAGAACTACAGACAAACAGTTTAGAGACGAGCCATTTCTACAACTGTAACTACAAATGAAGCATACATTATTACGTCCACATTGTGTTTCTTCCCTTCTGCATGATAATGTGCCCACATAATGTTCCTTGAAATATGTTGCAGTCTAGTTTTAACCCAACATGATGTCATGGTTGCCTCAATCATTTACAGGTGATGAGGATGTGGATGTATTTGAAGCACAACTGACGTCTCCCACTGAGGAGTCCAGCGACCAGCTTCTGTCTCCAGTGGAATACCTCAGTATGCCGACACTAGACATGGAGGTCATACACACATCAGGTACTAAGACTGACCATGGAGGCAGGTTCACAATCATTGTTACTGGTTGATTCGTATTTGTACCCCTGAGAAGTATATGTATCAGGGATTTACATGGAGTCCCGAATTTGAGGGTCCCTGGGACTCATACTCTTAATTTTCAGGGGTCCTGGACAACAAAATGGGGGTCCCAGACACTTAAATATTATCATTAATACTGTTACTGTATTGTGTATCATGATCATCACATTGTTACAGTAATTAAATTGCAAATGATACCATAACCCAGCTAATAGCAAACTCAGTGATAACTTATTGTCACTTGATTGGAATTTTTACAAAATGTATTCAGACCTTTTCTGAGTCTCTGTGGATGCGCTAATAAATTTTGTTGCGTCCATTGTCAATTTTATGCGTATAGGACGCAGGAATTCGCGTCCTGTAAATCCCTGATGTATCCTCCAACAGTGTGCGTTCCCTTACATCCTCCTCACAGCAAATTGAGATTGCTGTGTGGCTTTATGTAATAATCACTCATGTTACATGCAGGAAAGTCTATTCATCTTAAATTCATCAGATTGCTTGTCGAGTTGTTTAAGGAGTAAGAAAAGTCTTGCAATATTATTGTATATAAGAATTATTATTAAATATATGCAATTATGAACATATTCTGAATCTCTCTCAGACAACAGCATTTGAAATTCCTTGTATTAAGTTTCAAATTGAATACTGTACCTTAAGTGCTCACCTAAAATTACATTTGTTTTATTGAAACACCTTGTAGTGAGTGAGTGAGTTTAGTTTTACGCTGCACTCAGCAATATTCCAGCTATATGGCGGCGGTCTGTAAATAATCGGATCTGGACCAGAAAATCCAGAGATCAACAACATGAACATTGATCTACGTAATTGGGATACGATGACGTGTCAACCCAGTCAGCGAGTCTGACCACCCGATCCCGTTAGTCGCTTCTTATGACAAGCATGGTTACTGAAGATCAATTCTAACCTGGATCTTCACGGGGGAAACACCTTGTAAGGTGTATGGAGTATGAGTATGGTTTTATGCTACTTTTAGCAATATTCGAGCAATATCACGGCGGGGAAACCAGAAATAAGATTACACATTGTACCCATGTGGGGAATCAAACCCGGGTCTTCGGCATGACGAGTGAACGCTTTAACCACAAGGCTACCCAACAGTGCTCATGTTATCACTCACTGGTCACGTCAAGAACTGACTATTTATAGACTACATTCGTATTGCTGAAAATTATCTGAATGCAGCTGTAAACAACAAACATAACTTTGATGTAATGCTCAAACCTTTCCTTATGTCACCAGGGCCAACAACCGAGAGTGATCTTACTCAAATCAAAGATGGACTGTCAAAATGTAGTCCTTCAGAAAAAGGTCCATCAACATCCAAAACGAGCTCAAAGACAAGCACTGGTTCTTTGGAAGCAGAAACAGATTCTTCAATATCAGGAACCACTACTTCAAAACTTTCCAAGAAGCCACTCAAGAAGGCCAAGAAAACTCCAACAAAAAGTGCCTTTTCAGAATCACATGATACGTCTCCAGCAAAGGCAAAGGTGACTCCTAAGGCTAAATCAGGTAAGCTGAAGGGTACGCCGAAAGGCAAGCCAAAGGGTATGCCGAAGGGCAAGCCAAAGGGTAAGGGAGGATTAGCAGCACAGCAGAAGATCCAGGAGGTGAAGAAGAGGAGGCATCAGTCCGGGGCAGGAGAAGAAGCTGATGGAGCACCTGCTCTGAAAGTTGAAAAGACAACACCTTCCAAGAAAAGTCCTAAGAAGGAATTGCTTTCACCGAAGATTGTTTATAAACCTTTGTAATGTGTTAGATATGGAAATAAACTTGTTGAAATTTCTTTCTTTGTTCTATTGAATGGAAGCAATCTTCTTAATACCAATGAAGCTAGGATACGGTTTCGCCCATCACAAAATATTTTGTTGTGATTTTCTTTGGAGGGCATTTCAGGCAATACATGAATCACTTCAAGGAAAGGATTCTGAACTACAGGTTGGTCATTCATCTGAGACGACGAAATTAGCTGTGCAGTGCTATGCTAGTTGGCACCACAAATATGGCAAACCTCTAAGACTTGTATCACTTTTTTCCTCATCCAGCTGAGATGCAGTGATATAACTCAGGGGCGGATCCAGAGGGGGAGGGGGACCCCCCTTCTCCCCCGAAAAAAATTTCCCTGAGGAGCATTTTCCTCTAACCTTTGGACTTCATGATTTATGTGGACCTCCCCATTCTCCAAGATCCTGGATCCGCCCCTGTATCTGGACTGCTGTTCAAAGGCATTTGAGCATGGAGGAAACCTGATTTCAGTTCTTGGTGATAATTGCATTAGGTTAGTCAGCACTATTGCTGTGCATGTTCACTAAAGTGGTTGAAAGACTATGTCCTTTGTACAAAAAGACCATAGCACTAAGACTGGCGTAAGTCCAGGCCCCAGTTTCTCGAAACATACTTAAGTTTTTACTCAAATTTCAAACTGCGTTTAACAATTTGAAACAGCTGAATGTTTAACAAGACTGCATTTTTTAAATTAAAAAATCCCAAACAACTTAAGTAATCTATCCACCTAACCCAAATTGTCTACTAAGTTTCAGTTTAATATTGATTTCAGTTTATTCTGGGAAATGAATTTTTCCTGTGTTTTCTCAAATTTGAGTAAAAACTTTGACTTAAGTCAAAACTCAGACTTAAGTATGTTTTTCGAGAAATCGGGGCCAGTTTAAGTTGTTTACAACGTAACTAGCTGTTGTTGCCCTGCCTCAAGCTCGACATTAAAGGGATAAAACAAGGACAAGTAGGTGTACTGTGTATGATGGGATGTCCTTCCTTATCAGAAGCTATTAAAATTAACTAAATAACCGAATGTATTCATGACTCAAAGGGGAAACATTCTCATGGAAGTCCCACATAATAAAACCATATAATGCCATTAATCAAAATGCATATATCATCAAAAGATTAAGCCAATATGTGAAAAAAGTAAAGTAAGTTTGGTCAAAGTGAATTTCACAGATGTGTCTCATCTCATCTCATCGTGTTGATGCCACAGTTGTCAAAGGTGAAGAAACAGATCAGAGTTGCTTCCATTAGGCTCACCAGAAACCTGTGGTCGTGATTGCGAATTCCATTTTTTGGCTTTCGTTTCTAGGATCCCGATCTGCAAAGCGTTCGTAACGTTACGACCTGTCGTAACACTATGTGTATCACAGGCTGACGAATGTCGTAGCGCAACAAACGTTTGGTGGATCGGGACCCAGGTTTGTACTCTTGGGTTTCAAGAAACTGGTAAATCTCTAAGACCAGCGTCGTGTCTGCTTCCACCAACTTGTGCATGACCCGCCGTGATATAACTGAAATACAGTTCAAAACCGTGTTGAACAATGGGGTTCTCCCTCGTTAAATTGACAAATTGCTAACGCCGTCGGTTCCAAATAAATTCCCGTGCTTCAAATACTCAATAACATACTGAAATTGGCCAACACATGATGTTTATCTCCTAAATGTCGTCTTTGCAATGAATATACATAGACTGGCCAACACCTTGTCAGTGGTTGCCCTTACTTGGCACAAACATCATATCTTAAAAGGCATGATGGCACATGGCTCATTGATTCTGCTATCGTCTTCGCCATGCCTGTGGCTTTGACTCCTAGGTCCATCCATGGTATGGCCCTAAACATGTCGAGGGCGTTATGGAAAATGACAGCTTTAAACTTCTTTGTAGTAGGCTCATATTTAGTCTCAGAAGAACTCCTGCCAACAAACCTGATCTTGTCCTTTTTTGAAAAGAGAATGAATTTATTTATATCATTGAATTTTCTGTCCCTTTGGACAGCAATGTGAATGGCAAAATTCGTGAAAAGCGTGCTAAATATGCGGACCTCGCCTTAAAAATGTCTTGCTTGTATCCCAAGTAAACTGTCGCCAGACTCCCCATTGTTTTCTGTGCCCTTGGTTTGGTACCTCCTGATCTCTTGGCGCAGATCAGGAGAGTGCCCGGGTTCTCTACCGGGAGTACAGCCCTTCTGACACTCTGGGTAATGCAGAAGGCTTCAGTGTTGGGGAGTCTTCATATTCTCCGGAAAGTTCTTGGTGGGTTCGACTAGGCAGCGTTTCCTGGGAGAAGTCCCATTCGCTGTAAGGGCCCTGAGCTGATGATGAGTCTTACCAGCCAGACTGTGCCAGGATCACCCGAACATTCTCTACTGCAATTTCATCTTAATCTGTTAAAAAATAATAATAATAATAGCCCACTTGAAACGCGCTGAATCCACGCTCAATACGCGCTCTAAGCGCACATGTCTGAGAGGAGATGAGTGCTACACAGAGAAGGACTGAACAGGAAGGTTTTGGGTTGGGTCTTAAACGCTGACAATGATTCAGTCATTCAGGTACTGGGGCAGAGAGTTCCAGGCATTTTTGGATGAATATGCAAATGTTCTCACCCTAAAGCGGAATGTTTTTACCATGGGAACATGGAGCAGGGTTTTAGTTTGGGCACGTAGAATTCTCGCTGTTGTGTAGGTTTTAATCAGATCAGATATGTAGGGAGGAGCCTGACCGGACAGAGACTGGAAGGCAAGACAAAGGATCTTGTAGGTGATACGCTGTTTCACAGAGAGCCAGTGAAGGCTATGGAGAACAGGAGTGATTTCTTAGTCAGTGTAACAGTCCTTGCTGCAGTATTTTGAACTCGTTGTAGTTTGTTTGGCTGCTCCAGACAGTAGGGAATTGCAATAGTCGAGCTGTGACACAACTAGTGACAGGACCAATGTGGCTGTAGAGTTCTTTTTCAGGCACTTGCGAACATTACCAATATTCCTAAGGATAAGAAAGGAGGTTTTGGTAAGATTGTTGACATGAGAGCCAAGTGAAAGATCCGAGTCGAGGGTGACACCAAGACTCTTAACCCCAGACGACAGAGGAACACGACTGTCTCCAAAGTGGAATTCGCAGATTCCTGCCTTAGCCCTTCTGTGCTGAGAACCAACGAGAAGACATTCACTCTATGACTCATTCAGTTTCAGCTTGGTCTGAAACATCCAAGCTTGTATATCCCCACAGCAGCCAGCTACCAGTGAAACTGAATCGTGAGCATCTGTACCATTGGGAGAGAAAACCATATTCAGGTGTGTGTCGTCTGCATATTGTTGTCGGCCGACAGAGGACGTGTCTAGTACTGATCCCAGCTCCTTAATATACATGGTGAAAAGGATAGGTTCCACCACGGAACCCTGAGGGACTCCATACTTGAGATGAGCTGTGGCAGATGAGGTGTCATCAACTAGAACATACTGGTGCCGTTTTGAGAGATAGGAGCAGAATTAGTCCCAGGCACTTCCATAGATGAAAAAGTTATCTCTAAATAGAAGCGACAAAACTCTCTCCACATTCATAAGAAATCTCGGCCAAAAGCAGAGTCGATTGTACAGCTGTGACAATATCGTGAGTATATAATTGTTTCAGCAGTGTTACAGCTGTATCATGTTGTTTGGAAACAAATCGAGTCTGTCTTTGCAGTAGTAGTTGGTGGTCTATTGTGTCGAATATGGCACTTAGGTCGTGTAGAACCAGAAAATCGACATTGCAAAACAACATATACATGTAGATATTAAAATTGAAACCGACTAAAGTTAGAGCAATAATATTAGGCCATTATCTTGTCCGAGGAACGTGTCCATCAATATTTACATAAAGAAACGAAATGCCATTCATCTGCAGCTGACAAAGAAACCTGTTCTATGGCATGTATCTTTTTACAGTCTAATATGCTAAAATGTATAAACCGTTATAGCTAGTGATGAACTGGGACGGGTTGTTTTATAGATAGACAACTTCTTTATTGAAATCGATGCGACGTTTCGGTGTAGATGCAATAATGTCAGGCCATTACCTTGTTCGAGGAATGTATCCATCAATATCCTCATAAAGGAACGATATGCCATTCATCTGCAGCTGGCAAAGAAACCTGCTCCATGTCATGTGTCTTTATCAGTCTAATATGAAAAAAATGAATAAATCGTTAAAAGTAGTTATGAACAGGGACGTTTTTTTGTGGATAGACAACTTTTTTTATTGTAATCGACGCGCTGTGAAATAGGTAAAGATCAGCATCTACACGGTAACGTCGCATCGATTGCAATAAAGAAATTGTCTATCCATAAAATAATCGTTCCTGTTTATCATACTACCTTCACAATGCCACTCAAAGAACAAGTGATAGTTTCTCAACTGGACACGTGTGTTGTGTTGTGCCCTAAAACAGATGTTGTGCCCTAAAACCTACAATGGTCGTAAGAGCAGAGAAATCATGAATATTCATGAGTGGGCGGAGCTTATGTCACTAAGGAACAGTAACTTTTGTAATAGGGCACCTAATGAGAGAAAGGTTATCCAAGCAAGCCAAAGTAATGCTACAGTACCTTTCCATGGCTATCAGGGCACTACAGCTAAAATGTGTTTGTTTTGTTTGTAAAGCAACTTTTATTGCATTTTAAAATGTTCCCATATTTTTAGTTTTACTGTAACTTTTCCTCAATCCTAGTTTACAAACTTTCATCCATTCACAATAGATAACGAATTTATAGGCCACACAACAATCAATTATTATTTTCACTTTTCAAAATAAGGAAACTTGTTTTAGGACAGAAAAAAACACCTGTTTTAAATATAGGCAATTATCCTAATTAAAATACATGGTAATTTCAATGATGTTTTTGTTTTTGAAATGTTAAATGCTTGCTCTATTCAATTATAAAGGTTATTTGTTTTAAAGAGTTTAGAATTTCATTTCAGACAAAATTTATAGGTAAGAATATAGGGTGGTGCTTATTTTATGCA